GCCCCGTATCCCTCCGCGGGCCGTATAGCCTCTGGGATGATGCTTTACACTTCTCTGCCCATCCTTGCACCTCATCTCCAGCCCGTATCCCGCCGCAGGCCATATAGCCCTGGGGTGACCCCCCCGTATCCCTGTGTGGGCCATATCGCCCTGGGCGTGATGTCTCACACACCCCTGTATCCCGCAGCGGTCCATATGGCGCCCAGCATGACACCTCACATCCCTACTGTATTCCTCCGTGGGCCATATAGTATCTGCGCAGTATACCCCGGTGGTGGGGGGTGGTTACCGCCTGCCCCCATATTCCTCTGCAAGCCATGTAACCCCATAACACTTTATCACTTCTCTGTATCCCTCCGCAGGGTATATAATCCCAGTGGCGCCCCCCCGGGGGTTGGGGTCATAACCCTGGTGCCCAGAATCCCTCAGTTGAGCAGGACGTATCCCAGCAGCCTCCTGCCCCGTATCCATCCGCAGGGCTGATACGCCCACGGGTCTAACACCACAGCGCCATAAGAAGCAGGTTAAATATTCCTCCACCACATGGGCTAAATAGTCCCCCGTAGGTGCTGGGACTAGGTGGGGCTTGATGTGGTTTCCATCATATCCACGGTTTGTAGTTTGGTTCAAGGGCTCTCAGCCCCACCGTCCCCCATGCATCTTGTGCGCTTTTCTCTATGGTATCCCTCCACCATGCTGGCAAAGTAGTCCCACAGCTACGCAGGTTAAGTAGTTCCTTGTGGTGGTTTGCTCCTCCACTGGGCTGGGTAAATAGTCCCTGCTGGCTTCACCACCTCTCCTCCGCCCTTCTGTGCTCGTGTCCTTCTGCCAGGCAGGGTAAATAGTGCAGAGAAAATAGGCCCTGTCTTCCCCACGGTGTCTCTGTGTCTTGCTGGTTAAATAACCCTGGTGCCCTTCCACCATGTTGAGTAAATAGACCTCAGTGATCATGTCTCTTCTGTGATATTTCTCCGCAGTGTGGGGAAATAGTTCCCAAGAGTGTGCCTCATGCGTATATGTATCCATCTGCCATACCAGGGAAATAGTCCCTAGCAGCCTCTGCAATATATCCCTTCTTCATCCGTTCGGGGAAATAGTTCCTAACGGCCTCTTTGGTATGGTATCCCTCCACCACACTGGGGAAGGAGCCCCCAATGGCCCTCTTCCCTTCTGTGGTGTCCATCCGCCAGACTAAGGAGTAGTTCCCAGCAGTCTCTTCTCTGGAATATATCCTTCCACCATGCTGGGGAAATAGTCCCAAGGTGTTGAGCCTCATCTCCCCTCTGGTATCCCTCCAGCACTCTGGGGAAATAGTCCCCAGGTGTTGTCACATTCTCCCATACGGTATTCCTCCCCCTGCTGGGGAAATAGTCCCCGCGTGTTGAGCCTCATCTTCTATGTGGCATCTCTCCCCCGTGCTGGGGAAATAGTCCCCAGCAGCCTCCTCCCCCCTGTGCCGTGTCCCTCCGCCGCACCGCTGGGGTTGACGTGACTCTCGCCCCCCCGCAGGCGGCGGCCATGTCGGACTCCGGGCACAGCCAGCCCGGCCTGTACGGCCCCGACCGCCGGCGCCGCTGGAACCGTGACAAGGAGCTGGGCCCCCCGGGCGGCCCCCAGAGCCTGTCGGGGCCGGGCCGGGAGCGTGACTACGGCCCCTGGGACCGCGAGCGCCGGGTGAGTGACGGGGCAGGGGAGGGGCTGTGGGGTGCGGGAGGGGCCGTGCAGGGACCCCCCTCACCCTTCTCTGATCTCTCCCCCAGGAGCCCGCAGAGGAGCCGGTCGGGTCCGTGATGCAGAAGACGCCCATCATCCTGGCCAAGCCGCCTGCTGAGAGGGTAAGACCCACATGGGAAGGGCTCTGCCCCCCAGGGCCTGTCACACCCACCCCTGTGTGTGAGACCCCCACCAATAGTGGGGCTTGAACCCACCACCAGCAGTGCCAGCCCACAGGACTCTGCTGCTTCAGCTAAAGGAGGGGCTTCATCAGCAGGCAGCTGTAGTAGAGCTGGTATCCTCCACAGGAAGCTAAAGGAGTTACTCTGTCAGCATGCAGCAGCAGTAGGCTGTTAGCTACTATATAGAGCAGGCACCAAGCAAGGGAGTCTCACAACCGCTTCTTAACCATTTGCAGGATACGTGAGTCCAATAAGAGTAAATGAGCTGGGCAGACCTTGGTCAGGAATCCTGGGTTCTGTATCAGCCTGAGGAGGGGAGTGGGGTCTCGTGGTTAGAGCAGGGCGGAGTGGGAATCAGGACTCCTGGGTTCTGTCCTCAGCTTGAGGATGGGACGTGGGGTCTCTACCAGCCTCATTCTCCCCACAGTCCAAGCTGGCCCCTGCCCCAGCTCCGGCCCCACCCACCACTGCCCCGTCCCCCATGGAGAAGCCCATTGTGCTGATGAAGTCGCGGGAGGAAGGCAAAGGCCCCGCGGAGGGGGCTGCCCAGCTCCCCACAGCTGCCGCCAAGGGGGAGAAGGAGGGACAGCGCCCCACGCAACCCGTCTACCAGATCCAGAACCGGGGCATGGGATCCGCTGCCTCCAGCAGCACCATGGACCGTGAGTACCCGCTGCGGGGGCGAGGCTAGGAGGAAGGGGAGGAGTAGGAGGAAGGGGTAGGGGGTTGTAGCCCCAGGGGGATGGGATGTGGGAAGAGAACCCGGTCCCCTTTAATATGCATGTAGTTACCAGTGCCTGCCACCAGATGGCGGCCAGCCTCCAAGCAGCTAGTGGGTTTGGAGGTGGGGAGGGGGATGGATTTGGAGGCTGGAGGGAAGAGCTGGGAGCCAGGACACCTGGGTTCTCTCGCCAGTGGGTTAGAGCAGCACTGGGTGGGACATCACGTAGCGAAGCCCCTGGCCCGGGCTGTCAGACTCTCTGAGCCCCGTCTCTTTGTCCCTCCCCCAGCCGTGGTGGGCCAGGCAAAGCTGCTGGCCCCGGAGAAGATGAAGCACAGCATCAAACTGGTGGACGATCAGATGAACTGGTGTGACAGCGCCATCGAGGTACCTGGCCCCGGGACGCCCCCCATCCCACAGAGATCCTCCCAGCCACCCCCTGTCCCCCCGGGCCCTGCTAGTGAGGCCAGATCAGAGCCAGTGGCCCCTAGCGGAGAGAGGCCCTGTGCCCCATTCCCTGCCCCCCTGAACCAGCTAGACCCTGCCCTGGGGCCAGATGGGAGCTGGCGCCCCCTAGAGGGGAAAGGCCCCGTGCCCCATTCCCTGCCCCCC